CCAAGCAGCATCATAGGAGCAGATGATGCTGCTTGGCCTGCTGTGTTCATCCAGCCCTGCACTTTGTTGTCTCTTATCTGAGGCATGGTGACCCTCAGGTTAATGTCACCAACAGTTCTCTTCCCTCAGATGACAGAGCAGCTCACTATCCTCTGGGACTAAGATAACTTGGGAACATTGCCGCTTGCAAGTTCTCCTCTGAATTACAGTGCCACTAAGTCACAATCATTGAGCTCCTTCCCTAACAGGACTGAGAGAACTGCACAATATGGACTGCAGGTGTTCAAGAAGGCACCAACTTATAGAGGGCAATTAGGGATAGGTAATAATCAACTTTTACATCTCATAAAAAAATTTTCTAAGGACTCCCATAGAAAGTTAACTGCAATAGATATTCCTTCAGAATTTTCCATCTAAGTTGTCAAGTGAACAGTGTGTGGAGGTTTGGTGAAGGGTGGGGACACTGTAGAGACATCACTCGGAATGAAGACGACACCTGTTCGTGGCAAGAACCTGCGTGTCAAGTCTTTGAACATGTGGAGGTTGTCTCGCTGCAGCTACTGCACAGGGAAGCTGGAGGTATCCATGGGATTACAGATGTTTTTAATTAATCTTTCAGACATGTTATGACCCATCTGGTGCAAGTGCGTCTTGAACCTGGACTTTCTAACCCAGAGGTAGGGATGTTACCACTATCCCACAAAAGCCCTAATGTAAGCGATGACAAGTAAGTTAGGGTGGCATGGTGGCTAGTGGTTAACACTGTTGCCTCACAGTGCCAGTGACCCAGGTTCGATTCCACCTTTGAGCAAATGTCTGTGTGGAGTTTGCACATTCTCCCTGTATCTGCATGTGTTTCGTTGCACCAGATGCTTTGGTTGCCTCTTGCAGTCCAAAGATGTGCAAGTTAAGTAGATTTGCCATGCTAAATTGCCCTGTAGTGTCTAGGAATGTATAGGCTAGGTGGATTAGCTTTGATAAATGAGGAGTTACAGGGATAGGTTGGAGAGCTGGTTTTGGGTGGGATGCACTTCTATGGGTCAGTGTAGACAGTGGGCTGAATGGCCTCTGTGCACTGTGATGTCAAAGAGAGATGAAAATTCTGCTTCATTTTAGACAAATAAACAACAGTACAGAAAAGAAAGAAACTTATAATCTGAGCTCCTGATTATGTCGATGCTGTGTCTTGTACTCCGATTTATCATGGATGTTTTAGTTTGTCTAAACCCTGCTGATCTAAGCCAATTAATGTGCCATTGCTTAAATTTTAAGAGGCTAATGCAAATCTTTTCTTTTTAGGAGATGTTCCTGCCCACATTGGTGGTGTCACAAACTTTGGTGATAATGTGGATGACGAATGGTTGATTGTCTACCTCATTCAACAAGTCACCAAAGAGTTCCCAAACTTAGTGGCAAGGTATAGAATTCCTTAGAATTAATTACTGCAAAGAGAACTTTTAAAAAGTCACTACATTTCAAGTAGCTCCTGATGAAAAGGCAATTTAATATATCCAGCATTCATTTTTGTTTCAATCTAACATTCAATTTTTGTTTTTGTGTGTAGTGTTGATGATAATGATGGGGACTTCTTGTTGATTGAAGCTGCTGAGCACCTACCCAAATGGTTGAACCCTGACACTAGTGAAAACCGGGTAAGAAAGCCTCCACCCTTTTCCTCGCCGCATTTCTCCCTAATGAAGCCAATGCGTCACTGGATCACCTAGTCCCTTACTGAGCTTGCCGTTCTTTGTCATTTGTGCATGCTGGTACCTATTCCAGAGCATAATCTTGTCCTTACTGGATAGCAACACTGAAATGCCAACACTAATTTCACCCACCTCCCCCAAACCCTGGGATACTGGAATCAACTATTGCATTCCTGTTGTTTTAATAGAATCACTGAAAGAGGCCATTGAGTCCATCATGCCTGCACTAGCTGAATAAACAGGCCACCATTTTAACCTCACTTTCCAGCACCTGGTCTGTAGCTTTGTAGATTACACCACTTAAGGTGCAGATCCCAGTTCCTTTTAAACGAGTTGAGAGTTTCTGCCTCAACCACCAAAGCCAGCAGTGAATTCCAAATGCCAATGTTTTTCTTCATGGCTCCCCTAATCCTTTTACCAATCGCCTTAAGCCTATACCCCCTGGTAACTGACCTCTCAGCTCGGGGAAACAGGATCTATCCAAGTCCCTCATTATTTTGTAAACTTCAGTTAAGTCACCCCTCAGCCTATGTGATTTGAAGGAAGACAGCCTGAGCCTGTCCACTCTTTTCTCATAGCTGCAGTTTTCAAACCCTGCAACGTTTTTGTAAATTTCCTCTGTATGCTCCCTGGTTCAATTAATTATCTTCTTCCTGTAATGTGACCAGAAATGTACACAAAACTGTAGCTATGGCACAATGATTTTTTTTTTAACTAGTTCTAGCATTGCATTCCTGCTCTTATATTTAATACCTCGGCCAACGAAGGAGAGTGTCCAGTGACAGATAGTAAGAACTGCTGATGCTGGAGTCTGAGATAATACAGTGTGGAGCTGGAGGAACAGAGCAGGCCAGGCAGCATCAGAGGAGCAGGAAAGGTTGGGATCTTTCTTCAGACACTTCAGACTGTCCAGTGTCTTCTTTACCATCTTCTCTGCCTGTCCTGGCACCTTTAGGGACTTTGGACATGTACTCTGAGGTCTGTCACTTCCTCAACCCCTCTCAGCACCATGCCATCTATTGTGTAATCCCATGCTTTTTTGCCCTCGCCAAATACATAACTTTGCACTTCTCTGGTTTGAACTCCATTTGCCACGTTTACAACCACTCAACCAAGCTATTGATATCTTGCTGCAGGCAATGGCATTCCTCTTCACTATCAACTGTGCCAATTTTTTTGTCATCTGCAGTTTTTCCCAATGATGCCTCCTACATGTAAATGTAAATCATTAATATATACCACAAACAACGAAAGACCCAGCACTGATCCTTGTGGAACACGACTGGAAACTACCTTCAATTTGCAAAACCATTCACCCACTGTTGCCCTTTGTTTCCCATCACTGAACCAATTTTGGATTCAACCCAACACATCCCCCTGTATCCTAAAGGCTTTTCTTTTAACAGTCTGCCATGTGGAACTTTTCCAAGTGCCTTACTAAAATCCGTGTGAACAACACCCTCTGCACTATTCTAACTGATCTCCCTTGTTACTCCCTTAAAAAAAATCAATTTAGTAAGGGACAAAACTTAACAAAACTGTGCTGCCTATCCCTGGATAATCCGTGCCTCTCCAAGTAACAGTTAGTCCTATCTCTCAATATTGATTCCACTAATTTGCCCACCACTAAGGCCAGAATGATCAGTCTATAATTATTTGGCCCATCCCTCAACCCTTTTTGAATAATCGTTCAACATTTGCAGACCCCCCAGTCTTCCAGTACTTCGCCTGAATCTAGTGAGGATTCGAAAATGATCCTCACAGTATACCCAATTTAGATAAAATTCATTTATCTACTATCGGAGTTCAGTCTCTCCAGTACTTCCCTTCTTATTTTGGTTATTTTGCATATTTCACACCCTTCTTTAATGGAATGTCTGCACCACCCCTCTCCTTTAGCTAATAGAAACTTAATGATCATGTCTAGTGTTAATGCTTCTCCTTTATTTATCTCCGAACAATCTATTTTTGGGCAATTTTTTTTAAAATTAGAATTTGGGTCTAAAATAGTTCTGTAATGATCCTAACACAATAAGGCAACCACTGCAGTCCTTTGGAATACTAATGTTTGTTTTGAACACGTGTAACTTAAGAAGAGGAGATTTATCACAAAATACATGTATTAAGTTCTCTTATTATTTGTCTTCCACTACCAGCTACTAGATTTAAAACAAAACAAAACAAAACACCATTAACCCTACGTAATAAGACCCCCTCACATATTTATGTTTGTGAACTGTTAAGATATGGGGGAATACATGGGAGGAATAATTTTCCTGTTCAGTCTGGCTGTCCTGAATGAATTGAAGATATTTTTCTACTGGGGACAGGGTGTTAATTCATTGAATAACTCATTAAAAGCACCACACAGTAACTTCAAAAACATCAATAAGACTGTGATGCAAACATAACTCTGTTACTGACAGTGGATTTCTCCCTTTCAAATGTCTCCCAGACTAGAATTTTTATTGCAGCGTGTGACGTGACTGTTGTAAGAGAAATCTTTTATATTAAGAAACTGTCAACAATATAGAGATGAATAGTTATTTAGGTTTTAGGGTGGTTTTGTGGCAACATTCAAGAGGTGTATCATCTTATGTTCGTTTCCACACTTTTTTGGCCTGTAGCAGTGCCTCAGATGTAAAGCTTTTAGTTACATCAGTAGATTTTTATTCATGATTATGTTTCCTGCAAAATGCAACATAACTTTATTATTTCTGCTGCTCTTTAGGTATATTTTTATCGTGGAGAGTTGCATATCATCCCAATCCCTCGGAACCCGGGGGAACTCTCTTGGTTACCAGTTAGCAATCCTACCATTTCTCAAGCCCTCAGTCTGCTCAACACTCATTCTGACAAATGTCTGGCAGCAGAACCCATTCGCAAAGCTATAAGGAGACGCATTCAAAGGTAATTAGAATTGGTTCTGAATCTTTAGTTAAATCTTAGAACAATGAAAATGCAATTAGCCAATACATTCTCTATATCTCTCACTCCAAAAACTTCAGAAAACAAAAGCAACCTGTTATAGAAATTCCATTTTTCTGAAAGCAAAATCAGGCACATGTGGAGGCTGCCATGACCCTGCTGGAGAACTTCAAGCTTCCTCTATACAAGGGATATTCTGGCCTACGTGCTGATTCTGTTAATGTCTGGAATTTCTCACATTCTACAATGTAGCTCCGCAAAAGTTCTTCCTTGTTCATTCTACAAATACTTTCCTGATCTTTGATCTTTTTTTCTAAACCATATAATAATCTTTGGATACTTTGCAACTCCTATAAGCTTAGGTGATGCAAGGCAACATCTAGAATTAAGGCATTGAAATTCCATCAGCTAAGAAAGTGCATTTCCGCATTCCTGTGCCACCACTTGAAGTGTTTACTGTTCTCCACAAGTGAATCCTGAGTCTCAGCTGAATATTTGAGTTTGGATTTGTAGCGGAGATTGGAAACTGAACTGTACTGCTAACATAACTGAGAATCAGTGCATTCATCTTGCTATTGATTTCCTGCGTTCATTCAAGCAAGTTGGGAATCTGATTCAAATGCATGAAATAGTCAATCCAGTTATGATGTGGCAGTTAGTTATT